ATACGATGCATTAATGCCGAATAACGATACGAACAAGCGAGATCGGCGCTGATAACTCGACCGAGTTCAAACACCCATGTAACGGACGTTAATTACTTTTTATGCAATCGTGCGGCGGTGATGCGCTCTCCGAAATGCCGCTGTTACAGCGAGCGGTTAATGCGAGCAGTAACTCTGTTTAAGTGATAATTGCTCCGTTCATTGTTGCAGTCACCCCCCTGTCGTTACTTTCACCATCGTGATTCATCAGTCGCGATTAACAGTCGCGTGACGTTTCTAACGCTCCACGAGGGGGAGCGAGAAAGAGAGAGAGAAAAAAAGAGAGGAAGAGGAAGAGAGAGAAAGAGATTTATGCGCTCTGGAAAGATTCTCCTCAAGCCCAAAAATAACAATGATGACAAAAATGCTATAAATAGTACAAAAATAAAAAAAAACAGGAAAAATGAAATAAGCAGAAATGCACATTCGAGTCTTAATGTGTGACAAATTCTCAAATAACCTTACTTTAAATTTATTAAGGCTACTTACGTTTCTAATAATACCAGACAAATCATCTCAGAGAAAGAGAGAGAGAAAGGGAAAGATGTTTTGCTACGCAGCGCTACGTCGCACCGTCGCGTTTAGCCAAAATAATATTCGATCCCGTGTAGATCCTGATAAGCAGATGCGCTTTCTATGCTTTCCAATTTCGCCCACACTAAAAAATCTCGCCCTCTCCCCACTCCTCCCCTATCCCATTTCGATCTACGCAGCCTTTCGTTGCGAATCGGGACGTCAGTGCGAGTGCTAACGGCCCGTCCGCGCTTTACATGGGAATCCACTCGCTCTCGGCGGATACGGAGAAAAGTGAAAATGACGCGAGAGAGGATGTGTAACGATCGATGCTGATGCACGTCGAACTTTGCTCATCGCGCTCGGTTGCTCACCGGCGACGAGGAGAAAGTGGCCGCGATGATGAACGTGATTTTCGTCGCGCGAAAATAGCGCGCGCGATTCCTACATAGACGAGGAGAACCGGCCGGAGCGTCGCGGATATTTATGGCAGCGAAGATTATCCGGCCGACTGATGCGGAAATAACGACCGAATACGAAAGTTCGCGTTTTACGAACGCACCATTACAGCCCTCCAGCTCGCCGCGGCGAGCAGTAACGAGCAAGTGCGTCTACCTGGCTGCTGCGGCTCCGCCAGCGATTCCCGCGAGCGAGTGAGCGAGTCTGGATCTCGCACTGAGAGAAGAAAAATGGTTAAAAAATAAAAACGTCATAAATTTGAAAAAATTAAAATACATTAAAAAATTATATTTCAAAAATGGTTATACCATCAATTAAATTAAGAATTTTAGAACAGATTAATACATTAAAAAATTACATTTAAAAAATGGTTATATTATCAATTAAATTAAGAATTTTAAAACAGATTAATGTCAACAATAGATGCAAGAAAAGAGAGCTTATATATTGAGTACACAGAAAAATTTATTTGTGGGACATAAAATTTATGTCTGTAAAATAAAGTTTATTTTTGCGAAATAAACTATCTATTTCTGGATGGGAACAGACTTTCTGCCCCACAAATAAATTTTCAAGTATTTTTTCTCAGTGTACATTTTACTTGTGGGATATAAAATTTGTTTATGCGTAATCGAGTTTATTTTTGTGAAATAAACTTTGTATGATATAAATAAATTTACAAATATTTATTTCTCACATTGAGAAAAATATTCTGAAAAATTTATTTGTGAGACATAAAGTTTATTCGCAGAAAAATAAATTTGATATCCCGCATACATAAAGAAGGTGGTCAAATTTTACTTGATTTATCAAATAAATTTAATATCCCACATATATAAAGAAGATAATTTCAAATTTTGCTTGATTTTGGGGTCCGCAACAATTTTTGTATGTGATCAAAGCTCATGTCTAATTCAAATATGCAACTGTCTAATTTGAGTTTCTTACTGTCCTAGAAAAAAATAGTCTAAATTTCTTGCAAAATTGATTTTCTGATCGCTTTAGTTTAAGAACATTTTAATGGTTTAATATCCAATACAGCTAAATATTATGGAAACCAAGAGACAACCTGTCTTTATGCACACGAATTAATCCTGATAATTTATTAGTGCAAGAATAAGCAATATCTGTCAAATTATTTCTAAAAAGCTTTGTCAGTCTTTTCGAAATTGAAAA